GGGGGGGGGGCACCTGGGCAGAAGGATCCTGACTCTCCTTCTTGGGGGGGGAGGCCTCGAGGGAGGATCCTGGGGGCTCAAGGGCGAGTGGATGCCAAGGCCACCCGTTTCCCTCTGCCAGGGGGCTTTGCTGCCCCCCTCCCAAACGAAACAGAGGCCGACCGAGTTGGGTGCGAGACCACAAGTGACGCCAGGGCAGAAGGCCAGGTGGGGGGGGGCGCGACATCTTCACCCCAGCTGCCAACCGGCCATTCACAGACCCCACCAGGCCCCAGACTTCGCCCAGCCCCCTCCTCCTCCTGCTGCCCCTTTGCAGAGACCCCTCCCTGAGACCCCCTCCCTGCCTTTCCTCTGCCTCGAAACTGCACCCCGAAGCCAGGAGGGATCCCGGGCAGGGCAGGATAGCCAAGGATTTGGCTGGTCCCTCCGGCGGGCGCCTCCTCCCTTTTCTGCCCTGTGACCGAGGGGGGGGCTTTGGGGGTTCTCGGACTCACAGCTGCTGTTTCTTCTCCCTCCCCAGTACATGCCCTACCTGGTGCTGGACATCTTTGAGCGCTGTCCGGGGGTGCCCGGCCTCTTCCTGGCCTGCGCATACAGTGGCACTTTGAGGTCAGTCTCCGGTGTGGAGGAGGGCAGGGGCTTTGCCAAGCCACAGGCTGCCCCTCCCCCTCCTGATGCCCCCTCGCCCTTCTCCTCCCCTGCAGCACGGCCTCCACCAGCATCAACGCCATGGCGGCCGTCACCGTGGAGGACCTGATCAAACCGAACATGCCCGGCCTGACGCCACGGAAACTCGCCCTGATCTCCAAGGGGCTCTGTGAGTGGCAGGCAGGGACCCCACTGAAAGCCCCAACCTTTCCTTTCTCTGGGGGGGGGAGACCAGGAGAGGGAGGGGTGCAAGCATTAAGGCCCAGGGGATTAAGAGACCCCCCCCTTCTACGTATTCTGGAGTGAGGGCTGGGGGAACTCGTCTGGAAACACCCTAATTTGGGGATGGAGCAGAGCACAGAATAACAGATCTGGAAGGGACCTTGGAGGTCATCTAGTCCAACCCCCTGCTCAGGCAGGTAACCCTACACCATTTCGGACAAATGGCTGTCATGTCTCTTCTTAAAAACTTCCAGTGTTGGAGCATTCACCGCTTCTGGAGGCAGGTAGTTCCACTGGTTAATTGTTCTAACTGTCAGGAAGTTTCTCCTTAGTTCCAGGTTGCTTCTCTCCTTGATCAGTTTCCATCCGTTGCTTCTTGTCCTGCCTTCAGGAGCTTTGGATAATAGCTTGACTCCCTCTTCTTTGGGGCAGCCCCTGAGATACTGGAAGGCTGCTATCATGTCCCCCCTCGTCCTTCACTTTGTTAAACTAGACATACCCAATTCTAGCAACCGTTCTTTGTATGTTTTAGTCTCCAGGCCTTTATTTATCCTAGTTGCTCTTCTCTGCACTCTTTGCAGAGTCTCAGCATCTTTTTTACATAGTGGTGACCAGAACTGGACGCAGGTGTTCCAGGTGTGGCCTTGCAGAGTGGTGCCAACACTTCATCTTGATACCGTGATTCTATCCCATGCCAGGGAAAGAGAGCTGGTGGCACCTTTTGCCTGAAGACAAGAGGTTGTCAAGAGGGCAGATAAGATAACAGCCTCCGTATCTGAAGGCAGGAGAGGCAGGACCAGGGCATTGGGTTAAAAGTAGAGGCGCCTGGGTGTGGGAGCCGTCAGCCAGGGGAACTGCCTGCCACATGAAGTGGTGAGCTCTCCTTTTTGGAGGTCTTCAAACAGAGACGTGTGTGTGTGTGTGTGAGTGTGTGTGTGTGAGAGAGAGATGCTCTGTTGTATCCCACATTAAACGGGTGACTAGATGATCTCTAAGGTGCCTTCCACTCTGGGATTTGAACATCTCCAGTGTTCCTGGCTCCTGGGAAGCTCGGAGACTCACAAACTGCCTGGAAGTGGGCTTGTCCCTAAATGGGCCACCACACACACATATGTGTAAAACCCCCCACACACATACACACACAGAGTTTTCCTTTGCCTTCGGTTGAGAAGAGTGTGTGTCTCCTCTTGGCTTCTAGCGTTGATCTACGGCACAGCCTGCATCACAGTGGCAGCTCTTTCGTCTTTGCTCGGAGGGGGCGTGCTGCAGGTAACGCAACTCTTCCTGGAAAGCAAGCCCCCTCCCCAGGAAACAGCCCCCCTCCCTCATGGTGGGCCCCACACTGCCCCCCTCCCCCATCCCTGCTCTGCGCCGTCCATCCAGTCCTTCAGATTGGACCCCATCGTTCCCCTTCTCCTAACAGAAGTGGAGACCCTCCCCAGAAGAAAAGCCAACTGCCAGCTCTCTTCTGGGGGAGGGTCAAAGGGGGCTCAGAGGGAAGGGTTCCCGTTCTCTCAACCTCGCCCTGGATCAGGGGGCCATTTGTGAACACTTAAATGCAGGGATGGGGGCAGCGGTAAAGCTTCCTGCCCCTGACCCTTGGGGCGTGACCCCCCCACCCATGAGGGCTGTACCTTTTGCCCCCCCCATAACCTTTGGGTGAATGGACTGGGCCGGGGGCTGAAGAGGTGCAGCCCCTCCCTTTCCCCCACAAGACCCCCTCCTCCCTTTCACCATCCCAGTCCCTGGCCCGTGTGTCCTGGGGGGGAGGGTCTCGGGTGGACAGTGAGGTTGCTGCTAATTCAGCTCCCGCCCCCTTTTTCTGGCAGGGCTCCTTCACGGTCATGGGGGTGATCAGTGGGCCCCTCCTGGGCGCCTTCATCCTGGGCATGTTCTTTCCATCCTGCAACACCCTGGTGAGTCCCCCCCCCCCAAGGGAGAGGAGAAGGGGAGAGGGAGGGGGGCTGGGTTGGGCCAGCTGCCGGCCAACAGAGGGCAGCTCCAACGGGGAAGCAAAGGCAAGATCAGGGGAGGGGTAGTGCTCCGGAGTCTTCCAGGTGGGGCTCTTGGGCTTGCAGGGCGGAGCCAAGAGAGGGTCCATTTGGGCCCCTGGGGGGCTGGAGGGTGGAATGGGGGGCAGTAGGCCAACCTGCCTCTCTTTTCCTGGGCCTGGGCGAAGCAGCTTTGGGGGAGCCCGTTTCTGCCCTCGCTGCAGAAATGGTTGCGGGAATGCCCAGGTTCCCCCCCCCCCGTCCCAGGCTTTTGCCCGCAGGCCGCCTCCCGAGGAAGCCGGGGCTTGCCCAGGGTTGACCACGGGCTCCTCTTCTCTTCCAGGGGGTTTTCTCCGGCCTTGGCGTCGGCTTCCTCCTCTCCTTTTGGGTCGCGGTGGGGGGCACCCTCTACCCGCCCAGTGCCAGCACCATGGGCGTCCTGCCCTCCTACGCAGACTTCTGCCCGCTTTACAACGTCTCCCAGGGCACCAACAGCACCCTGCTCTACGGGGCGCTGTCCCCCCACCCCGCCTTGGAGCAGCCAGAGAGGTGAGCAGGAGGGCTGAGCTGGCTTCCTTGGGGTGCCCCTTCAGAGACCCCCCTCACCCCCCTCCAGGGATCTCCTTTTGGTCCCGTCCTCACGCTTTCCTGTTTCGAAGCTGGACTGGCACACTCTGTGGGCGACCCCCTCTGCCCCTCCCTTCCAGTTTCTCCACCCACTTTCCAGTCTGTGGGGACTGCAATCCCCAGGACCCCCAACGTTGGTGACTTTAAGCTCGTGGACTTCAACTCCCAGAATTCCCCAGCCAGCCTCTGCAGGGCCCTGGCTGGGTGGGGGGGGTGGCAGCGCTGAGGTTCACGGGGTGGTGGTGTCTGTTGGCTCCCAAGGCAGCTGACCACGTTGCCCCCTTGCAGGCCGGCCATTGCAGACGAATTCTATGCCATCTCCTACCTCTACTACGGCGCCCTGGGGACCCTCAGCACGGTGGTGGTGGGGCTGCTGGCCAGCGGCCTGAGAGGTGAGCAGGCGGGCAGGGCGGCTGGCGAGGGCCCCTCCGCAGAGGTGGGCTTGGGTGGACCCCCCGGATAGAGCCCCTGGGGAGGCCTTTTACAAGAGGGTCCCTGCCTCTCTCCGGGGCACTTGAGGCCCCCCACCCACTTCCTGGTCAAGAACCTTCCGAGGAGCAGAAGAGCCGGAGAGAGAGGCTGCTGCAGGGGTGTTTCCAGGCGGGGGGGTGGGAGTAGATGATCTCTCAGGCCCCTTCCAGCTTTTAGGTTTTATGAAATAAGGACACGGCGTGGTTCTGTGGCAGGGCCACAGAGATTTGTCGGTCCAGTTCTCCTCAGATTTGATAAAAAGAGGTAAAAAGACCCTCCTGGGCATTGGGGGGTTCACCAGAGTGGCTCAGGTGGGGACCCACGAAGGGACCCCGACACCTGGAATGTCCCTGGTGCAGCCCCTGCCTGCTCAAAGGACCTCTCAGGATCTGAGGGCCAAGAGGGGGCTTCAGAGGTCCTGGAAGCAGCTGGGTGGGAAGGGGAGAGGCAGACGTGGCAGGTGCTGGTGGGCACGTCTTGGGTGGGGCAGGGGCTGAGTGTGGGGCCGCCCTTGGCCTGGACTCGCTCCCTCACTTCTCCGGGGTTTTTTTCAGGCTCCCCTGGCGAGGACAGCAAACGGCCATCCATGTTGTGGTGGGATATCATGAAGAGGCCGTTGGACACGGTAGGTAGGGAGGAGGAGCAGCGTGTGCTAGGGGCTGAACAGCAGGGGAGGGGGCTCTGGAGAGTGGTGGATGAAGCCCACCTCTGCTCGGAGAATCCACAATTCCTCCAAGAAGGTCACGGAGAGCGCTTCGTTGCACCCACGGACCCCCACCAAGCACCCTTTGCGGCTTCTAGCCCATGCAGAGCCCCCTGCCCTACCTCCCCCTCCCCAGCCCCAGGTGACTGGGCAGCTGTGGCAGACCCCGCCTTCCTGTGGCTCTTTGGGGATCCCCAAATAAGATTAGGTTTTGTGGGTTGGGTGGAGAAGACCCCGGGTCTCACTCCCTGTCTTCTCCTGTCCCCTGCACAGACCCCCAAGGACGCTGCTGATCCCCAGAAGAAGGCACCAGACTCGGCCTCCGTGGATCTCGGCTTCGAGGCGGAGGAGAAGACCCTGCTGGCCAAGGAGGAGTTGAGCCCGGCCACAGGCTCGGCGGAGTCCATCTGTGCCTGCCACGCTCTGGACCACGGCTGCTTCCACCTCCTCCGAGAGACCTGCGTCTAGGGCCAGAGGGTGGGGTGGGGGCAGAGCAAAGACTGCCTCAATCATCAGGCTGGCTCTGTCTGATCCTCCACGGCAGGGGAGGATCAGACAGATCAGCAGGGGAGGATCACCAAAGCTGGCTGAGGAATTCTGGGAGTTGAAGTCCACAAGTCTTAAAGTGGCCACGGTTGAGGACCCCTGCTCCACGGGATGAATGCAAAGACCCTCTCCCCAAGCGGACGGACACCTTCCTCATCCGGGGCTGTTTCTGACCCAAATCTGCCTTACGCCAGCAATTCCTGAAAGGCTGTTTCCAAATGGACATGGGTGTGTGTGTGTTTGCGTGCAAAACACACCTGCAGCGAAGAAGAAGAAGAAAGCCCCTCTTCAACCCAGCCCAAGCAATGGGTGGGGGGAGCTGGGGCTGAAAGAGCTTCTAGAGGAAACCACCTACTTCGCGGAAGAGGCACTTGTGATGTTTACAGAAATGTTTGGCAAATGCCTTTCAGGTGATGGCAAACTTGGCAAGCTCCATCAGCCAGGTTTCCTCTTTCCAATCACACATACAACACAACACGCACACACACACACAGCTTTGTGTGTGTGTGGGGGGGAGAGCCAGTAAAAAGTGCAATAAATTATAGACATCATTTTTAAACAGTCGTTCTGTGCTTTTTCTGCAGCCTTTCTCTGTGCCATTGCACAGCTGTATCTTCAAGGCAGTTGTTTCTTGCAAATGATCCTTGGGGGGTCTTGGATATTTGGTGCCCCTCCAGACGAGGTGGGGCAGTTCTGCGCCCTGTTTCTCACCGCTCCTTGAGCCAGGCAGAATATCCACAGATGAATTCTTGGGGACATCTGGATCCCTAAAAGCGGAGCCCTCCAGTTCGCTTGTCTCTTTCTGTCTCCCTAGGGCAGTGTTTCTCAACCTTGACAATTTTAAGGCACGTGGACTTCAACTCCCAGAATTCCACAGCCAGCAATGCTGGCTGTGGAATTCTGGGAGTTGAAGTCCACGTGCCTTAAAATTGTCAAGGTTGAGAAACACTGCCCTATGGAGACAGACAAGCAGGAAAGTGGGAGGTCTTGGTTTTTTCCTCTCCAACCTGCAAAAGCAGGAAAGCGGAAAATGGTGGCCTATTGGATCTCCTAGTTGCCTCCCATCCTGTCCAAGCTGGCCCATTTATGCCGTCTCCCTGGGTTCTGCACGTCTTGCGGGCTTCGAAGCCAAGGACGCCATTTTTGTAGAGGTTGTTGCCCTTACAACTGCCGGTGGGGCAGCCCAGCGGGCCACAAAGCCGTTACCAGGACAACGGGTCCTCATACGATAAAGCGGATTGGCGGCCAGGTGGGAGAGAATGCGTCATCCCCTTGGGCTCGCCCATCGATAGGGACAGCAGTAGGAAGACTTCGCAGAGAGAGATGCGCATGCGTAGAGGAAGCATCAGCGTCCAAATCCAATGGAAGACCGCGCGGGCGGCCATCTTGGTTATGGGCAGCCCTTTTGTTCCTCTCACTCCCGTTCCCTCTTTACAGGGGGCAACGCTGAAAAGGCTTCCCAGGCGGGGCGCGGGTGTCTTGTTTGCTCCTTCCTTATTGCGGGCGGAGAGTCAGGAAAGTGAGAGACAGGCGGGAATGATGCCCAGGAAGGAGAAGGGAGTGCGGGCCTGAACGCAGACAAGAGTTGCCCTCAACAAACATGGCGGCGGGCCGTCTCGGAGGGGCGGAAGCCACTCGCCGTTTCCGCCCCGAGGGGCGGGGCGCGCCGTGACGCCCAAAGGCTGCGACCCCCGGCGGCGGCGGCGGCGGTAGGTAGGGGCTGCGGCGGGTCGAGGCTGCCCGGGGCCGAGAGGAGGGAAGGCGCGGCTGTCTCGCCGGCGCGGTCGGCCTCCGCTCCGCCGGTGAGGCGGGCCCGGAAACGAGGGACATCGCGAGGCTGGGGGGGTCTCCGGGGCCACCGCCGACCCTCGTTCTTCCCTGGGGGGGCAGATCAGGGGCTGGGCCGGGGTCTCGAGGCCCTGGGGGGGGGGCTGGAGGTCAGGGAAGGCCTCGGGGGTGGCTGGGGTGGCCCCCCCCGGAACACCCGGGACCGTCTTTCTCCGCCTCCGCGGCCTTAAGAGGGCTGGACTACAACTCCCAGGATTCCCCAGCCAGTTAAAGAAAGACTGGCTGCCTGGGGAATCCTGGGAGTTGTAGTCCAGCCCTCTTAAAGCCGCAGAGCTTTGTGATGGGGTTGCCTTTGGGGTGTTTTTCCCACCTCTGGGGAGAATGATTGGGGGGGAGAGAATAAGTATGGCTGACCCCACAGGTCATCTCCTCCAACCTTCTGCCTCACACAGGAAAAGCAGTTTGCCCCCCATCCACACCCCACGCCCGGCCTCCTCTAAGCCCCCTTGGGAGACACAGACCCCCCCACCCCTTTGTGGAGAGGAGGGACTGGCCCGCTCTTACGTGGACCCTCCCCGTACAGGGCAGTTCCAGATTTCTGTTGTTAAGCAAGACAATTGTTAAGTGAGTTTTGCCCCATTTTACGACCTTCCATGCCACAGTTGTTAAGTGAATCGCTGCAGCTGTTAACGTAGTCACACGGTCGTTAAGTGGATCTGGCTTCCCCCATGGACGTTTGCTTGTCAGAAAGACGCAAAAGGGATCAGGTGACCCTGAGACGCTTCGACTGTCATAATTAGGAGTCAGTTGCTGAGCGTCAGGATTTTGATTGCGTGAGCAGGGGATGCTGCAACGGTTGTTAAATGGGAAGGAGGGACACAAGTCTCTTTTTTGGTGCCCTTGTAATTTCGAACGGTCACTAAGCAAACGGCTGAAAGTCGAGGAGGACCTGCGGGAGGTTCTTCCTTGGGGCTGAGGGACCCGCTGGGGGTCGCCACCTGTCACTCCCAGCTCCTCTGCCCACCTGGCCCAGAGCGGCTGAGCCCCAGAGGGGGGCTCCTGCCTCTCCTGCTGCCTCTTTTCCTCCAGACCGGACCTCCCAGGTTACGCGCTGAGCATTTGGGAAAGTCCACAGGAGTCGAGGGGCTTCTCTTTTCCTCAGGAGAGTTATAGCTGGGGAGGGGCCCCGGGGCTTCTCTGGCCCAGCCCACTGGACAGGCGGTCCTCCACTTATATTCATATAGTGACCATTCCAAGTTACAACGACACGGAAAGAAGTGACTCGTGATTGTTTTTCACACTTACAACCATGACAGCATAAAATAGAATAGAACTGGAAGGGACCTTGGAGGTCTTCTAGTCCAGCCCCCTGCTCGAGCAGGAGAACCTATACTATCTCAGACAAGTGACCACTAGTCTCTTTTTAAAAACCTCCAGTGATGGAGCACCCACGATTTCTGGTGGCCAGCTGTTCCACTGGTTAATTGTCTTCACTGTTAGGAACTTCTTCCTTAATTCCAGGTTGCTTCTCTCTTTGGTCAGTTTCCAACCATTGTTTCTTGTCCTGCCCTCGGGTGCTTTGGAGAATAACGTGCCCCCCCCTCTTTATGGCAGCCCCTCAGATACTGGAATGCTGCTATCATGTCACCCCTGTGTCTTCTTTTCTTTAGACTGGCCAAACCCAAGTCCTGCAGCCGTTCTTCATATGTTTTAGTCTCCAGGCCTTTAGAATAAATAGAATAGAGCTGGAAGGGACCTTGGAGGTCTTCTAGTCCAGCCCCCCCACTCAAGCAGGAGAACCTATACCATCTCAGACAAGTGACTGTCCAGTCTTTGATCATCTTAGTTGCTCTTCTCTGAACTTTTTCCAAGGTCTCAACATCTTTTTTGTGATATGGTGACCAAAGTTGGCTGCAGTATTCCAGGTGTGGTCTTACTAGGGCAGTGATGGCAAACCTTTTAGAGACCGAGTGCCCAAACTGCAACCCAAAACCCACTTATGTATCATCGGGTGCTGGGTGGGTGTGGCCCATTGGGTGGGCGTGGTCACGGTGGTAACGGCAGACTGGGTGGGACTAAAAAGTTCAATCAATTCCAACTTTACGAGATCTTTTTTTTCCCCCCAGAGGTTGAAATTGATTGAACCTTTTTTTTTTTTGCACAGGGCGGCAGAGGCCTAAAGTGAAAAGGTTTTATAAAACCCAGCTGAAGGCCTAGGACTGGGGCGACGGCGCTTGTGCCCACAGAGAGGGCTCTGCGTGCTACTTGTGGCACGCGTGCCATAGGTTCACCACCACGGTACTAGGATTTTATAAAGCGACACTAATACCTCGCGTGATCTTGATTCTATGCCTCTGTTTATACAACTCAGGATTATATTAGCTTTTTTGGCTGCTGCTGCACACAGCTGGCTCCTAGTCAAGTGATCGTCCACTAGGATTTCAAGGTCCCTCTCACAGTTGCTGTTTTTAAATGAGGTCTCGCCCAATCTATATTTGTACCTTTGATTTTTCCTGCCTAAGTGTAAGACTTTGCCTTTCTCCACATTAAATTTCATTTTGTTGGATAGGGCCCCTTGTTCAAGTTCGTTAAGATCTTTCTGGATCCTGAGTTTGTCTTCTGGGATGTTGGCTACTTCTGCCAGTTTGGTGTCATCTGCAAATTTGATGAGTTCCCCTTCAATTCCCTCATCTAAGTCATTGATGAAGATGTTGAAGAACTTACTGGGCCTAAGACGGAGCCTTGTGGTACCCCACGGCTCACTTCCCTCCGTGGGGATGTGGTGTCCTTGAGGACTACTCGCTGAGTACGGTTTGTCAGCCAGCATCCTCCTGGTCACGTGATAGCAACCCAGGCACTTGGCAATCGGGGTGTATTTGTGATGGTTGCAGCGTCTGCAGGTCTTGGGGCCGCCACATGCACAACCTTCCCAGCGTCTGACAAAGTCAGTGGGGGAAGCAGGAGTCACTGAACAGCCACCCGACACCTGCAGCAGTTCGCACTTCCAACTGTGGTCGCCCTGAAGTGTGTAGCTAAATGTCCACGGAGACTCTCGGTCGTCCAGGTCAGGGTCATCCCAAAGGTGCTTTTTCAAGAGCCAGTTGGACTTTTTTCGTTTTTTTTCCCTTGAAGACGTTTCGCTTCTCATCCAAGAAGCTTCTTCAGGTTCTGACCAAAGGGTGGAGGAGGATGGAAGGACTAACATTCAGTTCCACGAAGGCTCCACACACCCGCTTGCACTCCGATTCAGGGGACCCTGAGGGCACAGATGGACCCCCGGAGGGAGCGCTAACAACCAGATGACTGCTAAGGAATGTAAACCTGGAGGGGGAGGGCCGAGGATTTTGCGCAGTATCTGTATGACAAAGTCGCTCGGATTCGGGAAGGCTTGGACTCCGACTGGTTGGCCCAGGGGGAGGAGACGGGAGCAGGTCTTGAGACGGTTGTATGGGAGGAGTTTGACTCTGTTGCTCCTGAAGATGTGGACAGGGTCCTGGGGAGGCTGAATGCAACCACATGTTTGTTGGATCCGTGTCCCTCCTGGCTGGTACTGGCAGCTCGGGAGGGGACACGAGCCTGGTTCCAGGGAATTGTCAACGCTTCTTTGCAGGAGGGTGTCTTCCCTGCGGCCTTAAAGGAGGCCGTGGTGAGGCCCCTCCTCAAGAAGCCTTCCCTGGACCCAGATGAGTTGGCTAACTATCGCCCGGTCTCCAACCTTCGCTTTGCGGCGAAGGTTGTTGAGAGTGTGGTTGCGCGGCAGTTCCCTCGTCACCTGGATGAAACAGATTATTTAGACCCATACCAGTCGGGCTTCAGGCCGGGAC